TAAATGCATAAGCCTGATCTTCAGAAGAGAGATTAGCTTCAAGAGCTAGACAGAGCAGAGAGAGAGGTAACAGGCGGGTGCCCTCCCTCCTCCCTCCCCTCCTTCTCGTTTCCTGTCGTGATGATTTAAGGAGATGGGGAGAAATGAGAGGGAACCTTAAAAGGCAATGTTTAGGCATGCTCGCGCTCTCCATTATCAAGCCAGAGTCTGTGTCTGTGTAAACACAGCATCTGCCTCATCTGTGGAGGTGAGCGTTTTGGCACTAGTCTGGCCTGTCACTATAATAACTCTCTCTTTCACTCCTTCACCGTATCCCTCTCTCTCTCTCCTGATCACATACACACGTTTACACAGATCTGTGTCTGTGTAAACACAGCATCTTCCTCATCTGTGGAGGTGAGCGTTTTGGCACTAGTCTGGCCTGTCACTGTAATAACTCTCTCTTTCGCTCCTTCACCGTATCCCTCTCTCTCTCTCCGGATCACATACACACGTTTACACAGATCACATGCCATTTCCATCACCCCTATGATTCACTCTGCTCTGTTTCACTGTTGTAGTGTCTTCAGTTTATTTTTATTTTCTTCTGTTAGTTTTTTATGTATATTTATTTTATATTCATTTAGTTAAAAATTCTTCTGTAGCTGCCAAGAACATCTTTTCTTAGAACTTACTGTAAAATAATATTAAAAATGCATTTTTTCATGTTTCATGTTTAATCAGTGCAGGTTTTAAAGGTTAAAAAATGTATATTATACACATAATTAACAATTAAAACCAAAGAGTAATATGTTCTGATTTTTTTATACAATTTTTTTTTTCTTTCAGTTTATACAATTATTTTAGCTTGCATTTTTATTTCAGTTAACAAAAATATATTTAGCTAACTAAAATAATGTTACACTATTTGTAAGTGACTTTCAAACTGGACATTAAATCATAGTCTTGCCACAATCTCTGTTTTTTTGTTTTGTCTCTGGAATGATTTGTTTTTTTAACTATTGCAAAAAACAGCTGGCGTGCTGTGAAGTGTGTAAAGCTGGTAACACTTAGGCAATCTTTAGATCAGGACTGTAGACTTCCTCCTAAATGGCCAGACTGTGTGTGTGTGTATCAGCTTTTGTAGAAACTGAAGGCCATCTGGTGTGATTGGAGGTGTGTGAGGTTCACCTCAGCATACAGCCAACCCGCCAGAACTGCCTCATACAACACAACATGCCAAGAAATCTGAGACATTCTTTGCATGTCATGCTTGAAATAACCATTAACATACTTTGGGGGATTTTGAAAACGTATCTTTACAAAAAAAATAGGATATGGGATAAATTTTGATTCACATATCCAGTCTATTCCCATTGTGAGATAAATTTAACTCTTGCCTCCCAAGTAGGACAGAGCCTGGGAACTAGGGTTTAACCAACAGGATGCGATGTTTATTATTGGGGCTCACTTATTAGGCAGTAGTTCAGTATGAGTTTCTCCACAAGCGTAGAGCCTGGCAGCAGGATGTGTTTGTTGAGTTTTCCCTCACATGGAATAATAACTGAGACATCCGGCTCCATAATATCTCACAGAAAGGATATTCACAACTGTCAAACACGAGACCCAAGGCCTTGGCTACACATACTCAGGCAGATTTCCCTCGAAGTTTTCTGGCTTCTTCTACACCTTCGGCTCTCTTTTGCCTTTTACGTCAGGCTCCCGCCAGCTGTGACTAGAAAAGGGAATGTATGCAGGCAGTACGGCGGAGAGCGACCAGGGGAGGGGAGGGCACACGGAGCTGTGACAAACTATCTGCTTCCACAATCACTGGCCGTAAGAGGCTGAAAGAGTGAATGTTTATCGAAAGCGCAGCTACATTTTCCATTATCCCAAAATAAAATCCCTTAAGACATCCTTATATGGGCTGAGGGAAATTCCAGAAGGGGGATACGAGACAACCTAAAGCTCTCACTTGCTGGAAAAGACTCAAAAAAAAGACTTAGGAATTTTCATGTTGTTTCTCCACTTTTCCCCCATTTTTTTGGAAGAGACTTTCTGCTTTGTAGTCAATTTGATACTCCACAAATTCAATTAAGCGGGATTTGTTGGGATTCTTAGCCTCCTTATCAAAGCCGCCTGGGGCATTCTGAAACCCTATGAGGATAATTGTTGATAAAGTCTTTTCACACAAAGTCAACTGAGAAATGTGTGGAAAATCACTGATATTTGTACCTCTTGGCTGTTGCACATGACACTGGAATGGTAGAATTAGCAGTGACATTATCCTGGAATTTCTGTTAATGAGATTCCATCTTTATCTCTCATTACAGAGTCTGCAGGGGGGGGGGGACACAACATGGACAGTTGACACAACATGCTTCAGGTGATAATATACTGTATTCCCTTCCATATCCTTGAGATTTCTTTTAATGTTATGGAAGCCCGTTTCTGTATAAAAATAATAATAACAAAGGTAATTGCAACTTTTTATCTCACAATGTAATTTTAAATCTTGCAGTTGCGACTTTATATTTCACAATGTGACTTTATGTCTCAAATAGTACATTTTATATCTCGTAATTTTGACAATATCTCACAATTTGACATTAAATCTTGCAATTGTGACTAAATTTTATCTCATAATTGTGACTATGTATCACATTTTGGACTTTATGTCTCACAGTTTGACTTTAAATCTTGCACTTGTGACTGACAGTTTGACTTTATACCTCAAAATATTCAATTGTATAACTTGTATAATTGTGACAATATCTCATATTTGTGACTTTATATCTCAACATTTGACTTGAAATCTCGCAGTTGTGACTTTATATCTCAGAATGTACATTTTTACATCTTATGACTCTGCAGTTTACTGTCTATCTCTGAATGTAAATTTTATATTTCAATATTTTGCATCTCATAATTATGACATTATCTGACATTTTTGGACCGTATCTGTCACACTTTTACTTTACATCTCGCAGTTGTGACTTTATATCTCAAAAAGTACATTTTATTATTTGTAATTGTGACATTATCTCATAATTGAGTTTTAAATCTTGCAATTGTGATTTTATATCTCAGTCAATTTTATATCTCATAATTGGGACTATATCTCACATTTGGAACATTATGTCTCAATTTGACTTGAAATCTTGCACTTGTGACTGACAGTGTGACTTTATATCTCAAATCTAAATCTTGTAATTGTGACAGTATCTCATATTTGTGATTTTATATCTCAACATTTGACTTAAATCTCTCAATATCTCTACTTTACATCTTGCAGTTGTGACTATAACCGACAGTGTGACTTTATAATCTCAGAATTTAATTTCTTTTATATCTCATAAATATACCTATATCTCACAATTATATATTTTGTTACTTTATATCTCACAGCTGTGACATTACAGTACACAATTTGACTTGAAATCTCATAATTGCGGCTACATCTCACAGTCATGACTTCATATCTCACAACGTGACTATTTCTTAAACTTCACCTCACAATTAACCTGTACTCTAAAACGAAAACAGGCTCCTATATAATATACTTAAAAGGAAGACTAAGTGGACGTTTTTCCTTTGTTGTACTCAGAAATAGGTCACCGTGCTTCATTTCAGTCTATAAACAGCAACAAAGTGGAGCCAGACGTGCTTGTCAACCGAGCCCTTGAGTGCTTCTCCAAAGGATTTTACTGTAAACTGCGAACAGTACCTTGTGGATAAGCTGCATATCTGTCTGTTAATGCCTGCTGCCCTCATCTCTCTCCATAAACCACAGCACTGCTGGAAAAGCCATTAGAGAGCTGTGTCAGAGCGAGCGAATGATCCTGCATAATCACACCCGCTTCCTGGATGGAGAAGTGAAAACGATCCACAAAATATATAGAAGGAGAGCAAAGAGTTGCCTGTCTGTGAGAATGAGCTCAGCTCTGGGTGCTATACAGTAGCATTTTGTGGTTTCCACACACCACAGCATCAGACAGCAGCACATTCAGAGAGCTGACGGCACTAGAGCGAGGATTTTCAGCTATGCAGATGCCAGTGTGGTGTTATCACATGATTGGGAAGGGGTCAGACTCTTTTAAACATATTTGAACCATGTCATCTGCTACTTATGGCGCTTTTCCACTGCGTGGTACGACTCGGCTCGGTTTGCGTTTCCACTGCAGTTCAGTACCGCTTTAGAGTGGGCGGGATTATTCACATGTCCTTATAGTTGCGCCGCCTCTATTGCTGCGACTCCTGAAAAACTTTTTCATTCCACGTCGCCCCATCAAGCTCTCGCTGGATCCGCTCCTCTGCTATCAACGAGAGGAACGTCTGTACTTCCTCAACAGACAACGAAACAGCCACTTTTTGGTTGTTAAAAAAGGTGCGCTTGTTCAAAACAGTTGCATTCGATCCTTCGCTGGCTGTGCTGATTTAAATCTAGCGGTTCTGTTGTGTTTGTGTCGCAAGTTCAGTGACGCAGGTAGTGACGATTCTCTCCGGCCAATCCGTGGTCAGCAGAGTTTACACGTCACGTTTTGGTAACGGTACGGTTCACTTGGAACCTCAACCGAGGTGGTACTAAAAAAAGTACCAGGTACTGTACCCAGTGGAAAAACCCCCAAAGGTGAACCGTACCGTGCCGTACCATGCAGTGGAAAAGCGTCATTAGAGAAGATAAAACCAACACTGGGCTGGATTCTGACAGGTTTATGAATCTTTTCAGACATCCTGCTTCTTGAATATGTGTCAAATCAGCCTGTTTAACCACCTCTGTTCGGTTGGGATTTTATAGGATGAGAAAGGCCGTCCCCTTGAACCCGGCTTCCCTGCGGACCGGTCTGATTGAGACAGGGAGTGGTTGTGTATAAAGGGGTGTGGCCTCGCATTCTGCGGTACACTGACTCAGGGGCACTAGGCAGACGGCTCTGCATTGATGTTGCTTTGAACTTGAGTATACAGATGTCCACTGCAGGAATAAACATCCTGTTCTGCAACCACCGATCTAGCAGAGCCAGTCTTAGCCGTATACCGCTGGGGGCAGAAAAGCGCTGGAAGTCAGAGCAAGTGTGCAGTTGTTTGTTTAGTGGATTGGAGTCCCGCAGCTCCAAGGTTTTTCTTGGGTGACAGCCACTTTCAGAGGCAAGAGCTCATGCTAAATATCCCGCTGTCAGGCTGGCAAGCTTATTTGTGTCTGAATCGCTACATAAAGGCTTTCCGTTATCCTGGGTGGCATATTCCAAAGCATAGGATCAAGACTGGAATAGGAAGGAAAAGCTGAGAGGTTTGTGGGGAGATCAGGGCATGTAGGTCAAAGCCATTTCCTATACACCCACAACACTTCCCCCACAAACATCCATCAAATTTCGTCAGTGTTTTTGTCCAAAAAGGGAGAAAACACTAAATAAATACCATCTATCAATGTGTAATTGAATATTCATCTTCTGCCCCTGATCTTTAGGTTTAATAGCTGCAGGTCAGACCGGCTGGCTCGGTGACAAACTGAGGAATTCATCCAAATTCATCCTCTGGTTCTTTATATGAGACTGAGTCACCTCCCATGTAATCAACAGGATGTAGGAGGTCATAGTCCATGTTGATCAAAGATGGTAAGATGGAAAACACAAAAGGAGTCCTGCATGATTCATTCGCCCTACAGTCCTCAGGCCCAAGGTGCAGTGCTGCATCTCTGGTCAACTGGGAGTCTGAGATGAAGCACTGTAGCTCGGGAGGAAGGGCAATACACTGAACGCAAGATACCTTGATTTTAAATGACAAATTTGAGATTGCTATTGAATAAAATACTCATTTATAATTAACAGTAGCCTAACCATTGTTGTTTATCATTAGCTTTATTTGGTAGACCAGGTGTTGGTAATTCTAGGATTAAATGTGCTTCTATTGTTGCCAGTCTTCCGTCAATGCATTCCATCATTTCCCCATCCCCGGGGTCCAGTTTTCCCAGGAATCCCTTGGGCAATCATAAGGGGGATTCCTGGAAATACTGTTCTTGGGGGTGGGGCTGGACAACTGAATTTATCAAATAATATTTTATAATATGATCACTAGTTATACTCCATTTTAACATTTTTAAAATGTAACATGTATTGCAATATGCCATTCCAAAGTTTGGGGTTGTCAAGGTTTATTTAGCATTTCTTATGCTCGCCAAGGCTACATTTATTGAATTAAAAATACAGTAATATAGTGAAATATTATTACAATTTAAAATAACTGGTTTATATTCTAATATATTTTAACATGAATAATTTATAATTGTGACCCTGGATCACAAAACCAGTCTTAAGTCACTGGGGTATATTTGTAGCAATAGCCAAAAATACATTGTATGGGTCAAAATTATAGATTTTTCTTTTATGCCAAAAATCATTAGGATATTAAGTAAAGATCATGTTCCATGAAGATATTTTGTAAATGTTCTACCGTAAATATATCAAAACTTAATTTTGATTAGTAATATGCATTGCTAAGAATTTCATTTGGACAACTCTAAAGGCGATTTTCTCAATATTTTGATTTTTTTTGCACCCTCAGATTCCAGATTTTCAAATAGTTGTATCTCGGCCAAATATTGTCCTATCCTAACAAACCATACATCAATGGAAAGCTTATTTATTCAGCTTTCAGGTTATGTATACATCTCAATTTTGAAAAATTGACACTTAAGACTGGTTTTGTGGTCCAGGGTCACAATTTATTCCTGTGAGGGCAAAGCTGCATTTTCAGCAGCCATTACTAAAGACTTCAGTATCACATGATCCTTCAGAAATCCTTCTAAAATGCTGATTTGGTGCTCAAGAAATTAATTATTATTATCAACAGTAAAAACAGTTGTGCTGCTTACTATTTTTGTGAAACTGTGATTTTTTCAGGATTTGTGATTAATAAAAATAACAGCATTCATTTCAAATGGAAAACTTTCGTAGCATTATAAATATGCTTACTGTCTCTTTTGATCAATTTAATGTGTCTTTGCTGAATAAGAGAATATATTTCATTTAAAAAATCTGCCCCAAACTTTGAATGTTTATATTACAAATATATTTTATATGTTATATTGACGATGAAGGTAGTTATATTTTAAAGATAAAGATATTATATATTATATGCTAAATCATTTACAGATTTAAATATAATAATTTTAAATGTATAATGTAAAGACAATAAATACATGAACTGATGTTGACCTCCTTCAATGTTTCATTAAAACTTGTTGTTATTGTTTATTCATCAAAAAGTGTTGTTACTGACTTTTTAATATATCCCTATTTAACCAATTGTTTATACTGCTTTGAAAGATATTGTAAAGCCTTTACTTACATTTATCAAATGACATGAAAAAACAGCGCCACCTATTAGTGAAAATGTACAGAACATCAAACACAATGTCCACAGGGGGGCGCAGTTCACGTTGTAAGGCGTTTCAAAGGGAAACCGCAGCCCACACGTGGTGGCTCAGATTACAGGAATTTTACTGAAGTGTGACTGGAGCTATATACGTTTTTTACAGTTATCACAGCAGTCCTACTATAAGACCATGTATGGTAACCCCTCTATTTGTGTTAATGTAAATGTGAACAAGAAAGAAAATGTGAACAGGTAGCCTAATCAAAGAGACCATTCATTAAATAATGCATTTTTGATATTGTTTTATAATACTGTATACAGATGCTCAGGCACCTATGTGCAGTGAGTCATTCAGGATTAAGTGGGCGGTAGATGCTCATACATTTATGTGAGATTTCTTATACTATTTACCAATGCTGCCACTGAAATGTTTGACACTGTGTGGGAGGAAAAGATCCACACATTTGGCCCTCTGACAATTATATGTATTTAAATAATAGTAAACAAGAAACTGTAAAGCAATTGCAATTCAAAACTACTCTCACTCTTATCAAGGTCTCCTGAGAGACATCAGTTGCATAAATGTTGATATGTTTTGCTTACATGCGAGGAGGGTGAAGGGAAAGGCACGAGGATCTGTGCTGAGTTGCACCGTGTCACGTTCAGCCCAACAGCTGCCTGGTGGAATCCAGCTCTGGTGATTCTGAGCCTCTGAATCCACATCGGCAGAGATGCTGATACAAAGACAGCTGTGTGTGCTTCAGACGACAAGATGGTAAATACGTGACAGGATAAAAATATGTAGCTTCAAGGCTGAATCAAACTTTTCTGCATTTTTCTACATCTGTGTTATTTTGGGTTGCAGCACATCTGCGTAAAGCATAGCTACATAACCAGAAACAACAATAGATAGGCCTGAGGTCAAAAAACTTTGCCATAGCAAAACAGGAGGTAAAATATTTTATTCATATGATTTTATTCTTATTCTTATTATGTAGTGCCTTTTACGTTGTTTCTTTTTGGCACAATATAGTGAACTGGCTGGGTATATTTGCTATTAATTTAATAACTTAGTACAAATACGATTATTTGGGGCAGTATACATGAATTTAAACTAAATTAAAATGAGATATGTTACTTTGGCAACTAGCTAAAATAAAACATTATATATATATATATATATATATATATATATATAATTTCATTACACCATTCTGAAGTTTATCCACATTTAAGTGTATCTAAATGATTATGTAATAAATATTTATGAGAAAATTAGTAAACATATTGCTTTTTTAATATTTCATATATATATATATATATATGTGAAATTATATGATATTTTTGTAAGTTTCATTGTCATTTGATTTATTTTTATTTCTTTATTTCATTCATTTAGAAGAAAAACAGTGTTAGGAATTTAGGAATTATGTATATAATTACAATACATCTATTGTTTTTTTTAATATATATTTGTTATTTGTGGTTTGGTTTGCAATATGTCTATTTACAACTGTAAAAATGACCTGTAAACATGCTGCTCAGGTCTTTTGTTTGCGGATTGCAGTTTAACAATAAAAGTCCGAGTCATGATTCTCTGTTCAAACAACATGAAAATCTCAATAGACTAGTACACGTGTCTAAGAGCATTAGAGGAATAATAAAAATGCTGTTTTAGAAATGGTTATTGTGATCAGCAAGTATATATCAGTAAATCTAAGTTTAGCTGAGTGCAGTAACATGTTTAGACATGAGTTAGATGGAATGCCTGAATTTAATCAAAATAAAACATTTAATCAGGTTATGGACAGATTTTGAAGGTGGGGTTTGGTTACTTTTAGATGACCTGTTGTTGTATAAAACACACTGAAATGTGATTAAATAAAGTTGACTGTAAATGCTAGTACAAACTCTGACCTGCATGTAATACAAATCTCTCCATTCTGGCTCAGACTTGCACATATGACGCAAAGGAAGAGATCTACAGGGTGAAGGGAATTGCATGGCTGGTAATGCCGTGGAAGTGTGACGCACACAACTGATTAATCTGATCATGGCACACCTGGCATGCCAAGGTGTGTTCTTCCTCTTCCCTCCATTTTTCTCATTCAAATGCCAACGTTCCCAAGGCCAAACGTCTTTAGCCATCTGCTTAACCAAGACCGCACACTGCCATTCCATTTGGAGTGAGAATTCCCGTGATTTGCCACACTGTCCGCCATGTGCTGGGTAAGACAAGCAGTATTGAGTGCTCTGTGTGTGTGTTTCTAGTGACACATTACAGAAAAAAAAAAACACCGTTAGGTTAAGAGGCAATTAATCAGCAACCAAGGGCAAACAAATGTATATTCAGAAAATGTTTTTCAAACATTATATTATAGTTGTTTAATTTAAAATGTTTTAAAAATGTGAAAAACTTGTCCAGTTTTCTTAGTGTTAGTGGAACATTGTTTTAAAGTAAGCATAATATCCCTACAACAGTCTTATCAACTTAATTTTAACAACTCAACATTCTACACTCTAAAAAATGCTGGGTTAAATACAACCCAGTGCTGGGTAAAATAGGGACAAACCCAGCAATTGGGTTGTTTTGACCCAGCGGTTGGGTTACTACCCAGAAGGTTGGGTTAAACATTTAACCCAACCGCTGGGTCAAAA